CGGCCGCTGGCACGCGGGGGAGCTGCGTGCGCGCACGCCAGTCGCCCGACCGCAAAGCTGCCATATCTCTGGCCGATTGCGGTCGCAGGAATAATTATCTGATGGTTCTGCGGCTGACGGGTCTTTTACTGCTTAACCTCTGTGAAAGTGCCAGCGGAGGGGTTGGGATCGTGCTCTCAATTCGTGTCTGTAGATTGATTTTTGGATGCTAACGTCCCACATCAGGTGCCTGTATTCTCCCCTTCATGTTCCGCTGTCTTAGACGCAGTCAGAGATGTTGTTCTGGGGGCGGTATAGCTGGCTCTCTTTCTGCTTTCAGCCCTGTTGAGTAAATGATCATGACTTTTGCCTAATACGACAGCAGCAGGCGGTCTAACCAACTAAAAACTTTGTTGCCCATTTGCCTCCCATCCCTTGAGGTCCATGTCTGTGAAATGCAAAAAGAAGAGAGACTCTAAAAGATTCACCAGCAGGGACTCGCTGACGCGCTGTGGAGAGGACTAGGAAATGGACCGTCTCTTCAGAGCTCAGTACACATCCAGGACAGGCTCCCCTGCAGAGGAGGAAGCCGTCATGCGCTCCCTGCGCTGGGCTGGCTCCAGACAGTGAGCGATCACACGGGCCCTTACGAGGTTAATGCATTACGTGCTGTGCACAAGCAAGATCTCGAGCTGGGAGGGGTGCTGAAGCCTGGCCCGAGGCTTCATGGCATGACCCTGGCACCTGGCTGTCAGGGAACAGGGCAGCTGCTCAGGAAAATGTTGTTACAGGGCCGAGGATGTGCATCCCCATTCCTTTGGGGAACAAAGGCACAGTTTTGGCCCCAGGAACGTGGACAGTCCGGAGCGGATTGTTCCTCTGCGTAGATAAATAACCATCGTGTTCCTTCACTCCTTTTTTTTCAGCTGTGTAGTGCCTGCGCGCTCCCCTCCTTGTCTTCCCTCGGCCATGTCTGTGTCCAGATCTCTGGTTTGTGCAGTCCAGGGATTTATTTCTGTCTGTCTCAATCCTGAAACTGCCCTGGAAGGCTCCTAAGTGCTTTTGTTACTGCAGCTGACGGGAGCAAAGCCTTCCAGGCTGCATTAGTGCTGCTTCAGGCTGGCAGGCAACAGATGGAAAATAAACTAGTTCAGGAGCTCTGGGGATGGTGATGGTGCTGCAGGCAACAGAGAATAAATACGGTCAAACAGCAGCATACAGAGTATTTATCCTTGCAGCTTTAGGCTTTTACGGGGGTGGCGGTGGAAGCTGCCCCAAATGACGGGTCACGGGGGGTATGCTGCAGGCTGGCTGGCGGTGCTAGGGCTTGTCTGATGTGTCTGTCTCTTCCTCTCACACCAGCGTGGAGCTCTCTTGTTCTGCCAGCGAGTTGTCCCTTTCCCTTCAGCCCTGAGTGCTGCAGAGTGGAAATGACTAGAAGCATCTAGAGCCTTTCTGGGGCGGCTCCAAGGGAGACGTTGCATTTCAGTGGTGTTTTCCACTGTGGGGGGCTTTGCAGAGGGAGAAACTGAGGCACAGGGTGGTTGGGAGCTTGCAGAAGTTTCTGGAGAAGACCGTGGCATTTGTGGCTCCCCGATGTAAGGCCGAACGGGTGGGCAGTGCTCCCTGCGGAGCGAGGGGCCGAAATGCTCCATCCAGTGCTGAGGCTGGAGCCTTGGAGGGGATCCTGACTGGAGCGGGGCAGTTGTGCACAGTCATGCTGGCATGGATCTCAGCAGGGGTGTGGGTGAAACTGCTTTCTGCAGAGGTACAAGGGCTCAGTTCATTTCCTTTGTGTTTTTGTGATGTGGATAGTCGTGTATGTGACTGCCTTTGTTTCACTGTGCATCAGTTAATTACAGAAATCACGATCTCCAGGTGCTCTGAATATCCGCAGGTTTAGGACTATTTGGAAAAAGTTGGAAATGTTTCTGACAAAAGACTTTGGGGCCAACTGAGCAAATGATTCAGTTTGAATTACTCAGCCAGATGTAGTTTTAATGTGCTCATGCCAACAGTTCCTGGACACCATCCCTATTGTAAATAGCACAAAATCCTGCCAAGGGGCGTTAATCTTTCGATTTGATGGCTGTGTTTGTGTACTGGGAAGAATGCAAATTAACGCTGAAGCTGAGAGGGGACGGAGTGAACTTCTGCAAGAGGTTGGAATGAAATCTCACTTGCCTCTTCTTCCCGAACTAGGAGCTGGCACTGAAGTCTTTGGGAAGTGAGGGGCTGTTTCTCTTTTCTTCTCTGGACACGAACAACGATCTGTACCTCAGTCCAGAAGAGTTCAAGCCGATAGCTGAGAAGCTGACGGGTAGGTGTCTGTCTACCTTGCAGAGCAATCTCTGCACAGACGGAGCAAAAGCCGAAGATAATGCACTCAGCAATTTTTCATTCGTGTCTGTTTTTTTTTCTGGGTGCTGTTTTGGGTCTTATTTACATGAAGAGAGGCTGCTAAGCTTTACGTGTTTTTGAAAAGGCTTAAGCACTAGACATCGCTTTCACAAAGTAGAGTTTTTATAAGACTGAAGATCCCATTGCCGGACTAGCAAAGTACATAAGTTACTTTGTCTAGAGCTTAGAGGGGATTTGGGATGGGTGAATGCAACAAATACAGCTCAGCCCAGGCTAGGCCAAAACTATTAGTGAGTCGCAGCGCTTCATTCATAAGCTCCTCTGGCTGTAGCAGTCTCTCTCAGATAACAATTGTGAGAGATCGTGTTTGGAGACTGTATCAGCGTGTAGCAAATGTCTCTTGGTGGTGCCAAGCAGGGAGAAGTGCGGTGATGATAATGTGCAGGAGAGCTTGCAGCACAGTCGAAATAGAGACGGTGGTTTGCTTGTGCTGTAATGAATTGGCCAAGGCATGTGCTCTGACCCCTCCTAGGTGAAAGGAGGCTGCTTAACTGAGCCGTGGGGTTTAGAGAGGCGGGCGCTAAAAGGAGGGCTGTCTGTTAATTCCTGCAGCCGAAGCTGGTCAGCTGGTCGCTGGGGTGGGTCTGAGTTCTGCCACTGTAGGGACAGCTGGGAAACTCCCAGTGCTCCTGGATTTGCCAGGATAAATGTGTAATCACTTCACAATCGCTTAAAAGGGGAGGGAGGGGAAACAGCTGCTTAAATTCCTGTCCCTTTGTCTAGGGGTTGCTCCCATCTCAGAATTGGAAGAGGAGGAGACGCCTGATCCAAGCGGGGAGACCTTGTCTGTTGTGGCTAAATTCCAGCCTTTGGTCATGGAAACGATGACGAAGAGCAAAGACGGTTTCTTGGGAGTAGGTATCACGCAGGATGCGTATGGCCAGAAATCCTGGTATAAACACGTCCTGTGGGCTGGTAACATCAGCTGGAATAAGTGCAGACATGTTGGGAGGGGGAGACGGTCTTGCTGGAGCCCGTGGGATTTGCTTTGACAAGCAAGCTCACTGCTTTCTGCAGCGTTTCATTGTTTTCAGTGCACTCAGCAGCACTGTGCCCCAATTAATACGCCCTTCCTGGGAAGCTTGAAGCAGACGTTAGCGATGGCTGTCCTGCAGCTAAGTGCAGAAGCAGTGGTGTTCTGTGGTATCTTCCCCTCTCTCCCATTTCCTATTACATAATTGAAAGTTGTCAGACCTATTTGGTGGTGTTTGGGGTGGTAAGAAGAATTTAAAATGTGATTTTGGGGGGCGGTTCGCCCTTCTCCAAAGCCTACTTGCATCCATCAGCACTACTGCGTGTTTGAAGAGTCCGGTCTAGGCTCTGATTGTGTCTTTTGTTCACAGATTTCTCACGTCGCTCTGTCTGGGCTGAGGAATTGGACTGCCCCAGCAGCCCCTATGAGCGTGATGCTTGCCAGACAGTTTAAAGCCTTTCTTCCTCCAAAGAATAAACTGGATCTTGGGGATCCGTGGTGGATAATTCCTAGTGAATTGAACATCTTCACTGGGTATCTTTCCAACAACAGATTTTACCCTCCGCCTCCCAAGGGCAAAGAGGTGAGACATGAGACAATTTCTGTATGCCTGAGAGGCAGTCTGTATAAATGTTCTGCCTTACAGCCCAGATGTGTTGCAGCAGTCCCTGGAGCAGACCAGGCTGTTGTGTCTCCCTGGACTTTCTAATGGAGCAAAAAGGCTGCAGTGTACAACCAGGAGCACCATTTCCTAAACTGGAGGTAGAACTGAGAGCAGGCAAAGGCTCTGGGTGTCTGTCATGGCCAGATGAGCCTGACTTGAGTAACTTCATCTTGCTTCACTGGAGTGTTTGGGTTTTTAGGTTGGTCTTTCCCAGGCAGCGAGGGGAGAGGGTTTTTCAGAAAGCACTTGTATGAAGTGGTCGTGCCTTGTGGAACAGTTGCCGAGTGCCACCCCAGAGGTGAGCGTTTCGTTGGCCAGTGGAACGAGGTGTATACACGGTTTGTAAAGCCAGGCGTGTATGGCGCTCTCCCCAGAGTGCCGGGTGGGGGTTAGTGATCACACAGTTGATACACCTTCGCAGCCTGGTGTGTTTATTGATTGCATTCCCAGTCTTTCAAAGCCTTAAGTAGTATTGATGGAGGCGGCCTCGTAGATCAGTTTACCGTACTGAGACGTTCAGCCAACTGGGATGATGGAAACTTGCAAACAGTGGGAATAGCATAAAAAGTGTGGAAGATGGATTTACTTTTAAAAGCAGTCTCTTGCTTTATCTCCTTGTTTTGTGATTAGGTAGGTCTCTGAGCTGATTTTTAAGTCATAGGAGTTCCCTTGCCTTCCTGATCTAGTGGGGAGTTACTTTGGAGCTGCAGCTGACCTGCAGTGACTGAACTATTCTCATTTTTGCTCTCTCCCAATTCTTTCCTTAGATCATAATCCACAGGCTTTTGAGCATGTTCCACCCACGCCCCTTCGTCAAAACGCGCTTTGCTCCCCAAGGAGCTGTGGCCTGCATCCAAGCCATCAGCACCTTCTACTACACCATAGCATTCAGGTAAGGCCGTGGGTCCGGGATGTTCAAGGAGGGCTTGGGGCCTCTTCTGAATTTGTTCCATATCTCAGGGGAGTGGAGAAGGCTGCTGTGAGCCTGTGGCAGAGAGTGTGCGTGTCATGGCATGTGCAGTTGTGTTTCCGAGCAAGACCACGTGTGTCCTGGCTGGGAGGGAGGCGAAACACTTCGAGGAAGAGGATGGTTCACAGCCAGCTCTTGCCCGCGTGTGATGCTTTGCTGATGCCCGAAGAGGGCACCCGTGCTCCCCGTGTCACTGAGCCCCCAGTGCAGCAGGGACTGTTGCCCAGAGCAGCTGTTCTCTGTCACCCTTGGTTTGGAACTGTCCCTGGCTGAAAGGGGAGAGTGATTAGCGAGAAATTTGTTAGATTTTGGTTAATTGGGGGTGGAGTGCCTGTCCAAGGGCGAGAGTCTGGGGAGTTGCTCTCTTGTTTTACTGGAAGTGTTACATGCAGCTTTTATTTGCCTGATCAAGCCGCAAGGGTGGCTGAGTGGGTCTTAGTCCGTTCCTGTGTTTCAAGGAATGATAATGAATTCATCCTTCCCGGATGGACCCGTACTGCCCAGTTCCAAAAGGCATTGATATTGGAGATGATCCTGACCCAGGGGATCTGCTCCAGTCTTTTACCCTCTTCATTGTGTGACATGAAAAGCTGCCCTAATTTAGCTTCATCATTTCTGGTGCCTGGAGATAACTTCTCCCTGCTGTCATCTGCAATGCATGATCCGTTCTCTCCTCCCGGCACTGCAGCTGATGGCTCCTTTCTCTTTCCAGGATCCATGCTGAGTTCCAGCTGAATGAGCCACCAGACTTCCCCTTCTGGTTTTCCCCAGGCCAGTTCACAGGTCACATCATCCTCTCCAAGGATTCTTCCCATGTCCGAGAGTTTAAGCTCTTTGTCCCTAACAACAGGTACAGCTGTTTCTCTCTCTCCCTGGGTGCTGAACAGACTTGAGGGTGGTTACAAATGAAGCCCAGTGGAACCCAGGGCCTCTGGGATCCTGTCCTGTGCAGGACTGGGGGCTGTGCGTGGGGGGAGGCTGGTGGGCTGGTTTTTTGGTGAAGATATGAGTGCGGTGACAGCCCTGTCCCTTGCGGTATGTGGGCATCCTGGCCCGCGCAGGGAAGGCAGATCTGCAGTCTGAGCTTTGAGCAGGCTAGTTCTGCTCTTTGCTTATCGGTTTTCCCCACACATCCTTCTCTGCCAGCGGTCATCACGGTCATCATGTCCTCAATTCTCTAGATACAGTTGCTCCCTAAACTGGTTCTGATGCAATTTTTCAGGAATAACTCTGTTTATCAACAGGTCTGGGGGGGGCATCTGGCTTGGAAGAGGCAGGGAAGGACAAGGGCAGAGGAGGGACAGTTAAACTGGTTCTGATGCAATTTTTCAGGAATAGCTCTGTTTATCAACAGGTCGGGGGGGGGCATCTGGCTTGGAAGAGGCGGGGAAGGACAAGGGCAGAGGAGGGACAGGGGAGAAGCAGGACAGAGGTTGCTGGGGACATGGAGCGTGGGACTGGGGATAGCTGTCCTTGCACAACCTGTCTGCAGCGGGCATGTGCCTCAACTGAGCTGTCCTGTGCCAAACCGCTTTAGAGGGAGGTACCTGCAGGCACATGGGAAGACACACAGGGCTGGGGAATTTAAGTTGTCCTGACACTGCCCTAGAGACAGGCAGCAGCTTCTTTGTTGGTAGCACTGCTGCAAGCACTGCTCCCCGTGACCTGTCCCGGCAGTCCCTGGCTGTGGCCGGGACTCTTGCAGATGCCAGGTACCTGTTGCAAGCTGCCAAAGGCTCCTTGGGTGTCTGTGATGGATGAGCTTATGCTTTTCAGCCAAGTCCTTGGAAAATCTGAGTGAACTGAGCTCTGCAGTTGTCCATAAAACTGGCAAATGCATCTCTACTAGTCGCTGAGGATCCCTGACCCATTTCAGGGCCTGATTCATCACCAGTAGCTGTCCCTTGGTAGTTGGTAGGTAGAGGACGAGCAGGGTGTGGAGAGCAGCCCCTGGCAATCTCAGTGCCTGGCTTAAAGCGCCGAAGCTCAGCAAAGCCTGGTACTCTTGCTTCAACGTATTTTGTGCTCGGGGTTTCACAGGTTAAGGTTTTGCGTGCATAGCTTCGCACTAGCTCGTTCCTGCTCTCTGGCAAGCAGCTGGAAACGTTTCAGGGGAGAGAAGCTTCAAATCTCTTTGCCCATGACGGCTGAGTGAAAATTCTATTATAACATTACCCTGGCGACTTAATCCCTATGGCTCTGTCAGCACATTTGTTACAGCAAGCAGACACTTACGGCTCTGCCAGCAACTCCTTACAAAAGCCTCTCGC